CCCCCCCCCCCCCCCCCCCCCCCCCCCCCCCCCCCCCCCACTACATCCCTTTCCCCTCTCCTCTGAGCACCAACTTTCGCTCGATCGGAGTCATTCACTGCCACTTACCATAAGAATTCTCAAGGGTCCCATCTTGCCTCCTGTCCTCCTACTAAGCTTGAGCGCTGTAGGTCCACCGAATCAGAAGATACACACACATACACAAATACGCAACATCCTCACACATAATACATACATCCACGTACACATACGCACATTCACACATACCCACTCACACCAACACACACAACCAGCAGACACATACAACCCTTTCAAATTCAAACGCCTAGAAGAATCTACACCTGCTACCTACCTTTAGTGTTCCCATTTTGCTAACTGTCACAATTGTTCCCATCCTGTTGCCTGTGTACCCTCCAGATTTGAACGCTCTAGCTCTGAAATAACATTATTAGTCAATGCTTCTGTGCCAAACAGGTTTTTTAATGGTGGAACATTTATTCGCCTGACGTTTCGATCAACTCGTCGTTATCAAAGGCCTGAAAGCGTTCCGGAACTTCAGAGTGTTACCTATCACGCTTGAAGTAAACCACCTAGCTCTTAACTAGTCGCAACGTAAACCGATGAACTTCCAGCTAAGTTAAAATTCCAACAAGTCACTCACGCCAATTCCACCAACACCGAACATTTGCTCAAATTTAGACTATAGAGCAATTGATACAGCCCGGTCAACCACGACCTTTTTGATAGTACCGTGACGTGACACGAAGCAGTCTCCACTATCAAAGCTCACGCAGAGGTTTGGTGTTGGTGGAACTGACGTGAGAGACTTGTCGGAATTTCTAATTAGTTGGAAGTTCATCGGTCCGAGTTGCAACAATGTAAGAGCTGGTCTACGTCAAGCATGATGCGTGACACTCTGAAGTTCCAAAACGCTTTCAGGCCTTTGATAACGACGAGTTGGTCGAAACGTCAGGCGAATAAATCTTTCACCATTAAAAACCTGTTTGGCACAGAAGCATTGATTAGTAATAGTACAAATGACCAGGTTACAAGAATGGCGAACGTGAAGGTTGCTTCTGAGATACCACATTTTCGCGCTTGCTTCACCCCCAATAAGAAGGGTCTATCCTGTCACCTGCCAATCTCTCATCTAGCCGCCTTTATCCCCCTATATTACGGCGCTCTGACTTCAAGGAAACAATGTTCGAGTACGCCCCTCCCTCAGTAGTCGGAGTTTACTTGTGCCTGCGTTCATCAGTATTAATATCCTGCCACCTGTATCCCTTCCAAGTTTGAACACTCTAGGTCAAAGAAACGAATTTCATCTCCCCCTCGAAGGAACGAATTTTCGAAGAAAGCGAGGAAATCCGCCGATCTCACGAAAGATAAGGCTTCCTTGAAGTGGGATAATAGGCGTTGCACGGGATTACCATGATCGAATTTGCCTTGAAGAAGTATTCGGACGAGATTTCAAATGTTGCAATTGCGTAAAGACCGAACCACTTCGAACCAAAATTGTTCAATACTGCCTATCACTCCTTCCATGGGTCGTGACGAGTTGTTTAAACTTTATGTACAGATGTCCCTCTGAGTGTTGCAGCCTCCACAACACCGTTGGAAGCCGTCCGCCTTCGGTGTGCCATACGGCAGACACAGTCTTTGGATTCTCACGGCGTTAATTTGACAGCATCACTTATCGTATACGAAGGGGCTTGAGGTTCATTCTTATGGGGTAGCTCATAAACCATTCGTTTTACCCTTAATCTGTGCCTTTGATGAACCGTTTCGCAGAAACGGAACGCAGAGCTTCANAAAAAAAAACACGTCGCGGTATAAATTGGAGAAACCCAACATGGTTTGGGTCCTATCAGTTCCTATTCTTGGTTTAGGCAACTGGACTTCGTTCTCACCTGCTGCACTAACTTATACCTATAACAACAGTATTCCTTAATCATTCTCGGTATTACGCATGTTGCTTTACGGCTTTTGCTTTACGTGCCCATTAGTGTAAGTTCCTTCTAGAAACGCTTTTGGCCATTTCTCGTGCTAGATACACAAGCTTATTGCCTTCTGCATATAGGTTCGCGTCAAATGTTCTTGTATATTAAAACTCTACTACAACTTTTCGCATTTCAAACGAATGGCTAAAAACGAAATCCGTGTTTGAAAAAACGAAGCTCAGCAGGAGCCGTTGCAGCGCAGTCTCCTTATGGATGAGATAACGTGTAATGAAGCCACCAGCGATTAGATGAATATGATAGAACGGTTGCAGCGAAGGTCACAAACAGTGGCAAATATCACCAAACCCGCTCGATGGGGAAAAATGATCACTTGTTTTCTCAGCATTGATCTTTTTGCCGCGTGTGGAGTCCCAGAATAATTTCCTCAAGATGCTCAGTTTCAACGCTCCCTGTTTCTTTCCAAACATAAATCCTTCGTGTCAACTACCTAGAAGAATCGAGCGTAATAAGGGTTCCTATTGGCTATTGGCTTCCAGCACACGCTTGGAAAAACAAACGGCTGTTGACGATCGGACGGGAGAAAATTAAAATCAGTTATAAAGGTAAATGAGCATCCCATATTGGAGAAAGCACAACAGAGCCCATTGATCGGTGTTTCACTCGTTGTATTACTCGTAATGACTGTGTATAAGAATAGAAATATGATGCACCCACCATCCAACTCATGATCACAGTGTGATTGTTGTTACTATTGTATTTTCAGTTATGGAATTTTCAAAGATCGCGAAGATATAATAGGAAAATATTACTCCGATTCTAGTACTTCCTTCGGGGATAATATAATTCCAACAAGTTGAAGAAAACCACATCAAAAATTGTCTAGTAAATGAGGAAAATCATTAGAATGATACACGCCACGAATTCGTAGACCATGTCTGAATGTTCAAATTAATATGTACCGACCCTGGCAAGACGATTGCTTCTTCAGTAGAGTAAATAAACAATGAGCGATTAAATAAGACATTCTTTGGCAGACCGAACCGAACACATGTACATACCGTGTCAAATCGGAATCAAAGCCAAATCTGGAATACTACGGGATGATACAGGAGGAAGAATCGGCAAGGACAGATTAGGTGAGTTGAAAATATAAATAAGGCAAAGGCTTCAAAAATAAAACATCCCGTACTTTATCATCAAAGGAACAAGTGAAAACAAATTTACACTGATCATAGGGAAATATCTCATAATTTCAACAATTTCTGGAATGGATAAGGTATTTGCAACAATGGGTCAGTAGTTGGCGACCATTCAATATTTGATCATCTTGTCGCGTGTAGATGTCAAGACCGTACTGTCCTTCTTCGGGAAAATCTATATGAATTGATACCTGAAGGAAAGCATCAGTGATAATATGCCTTCGTTTCCTTTCGTAGTTTCCTATCTTGGCAACTAAGGAAGATATGGTTACATTGTTTAGACAGACTGAGGGCCTCTCCTGCCTACGATAAGCCATTCTATGATCTGGATACCCCGTCGAGGTAACTAAGACGAGAGCCCATGCCAGTCATAAGAGAGCATAAGGTGTTTACACCTTATAGATGATGGAGGTGGTGCCAGCGAATTGGGACTGTAAAGGTTGATTATTCATCTATTCACTATCAATCAAAAAAGTAGCAAAAGGAGGTGATGGAAACGACAGTGTAAGGTCCTATTAGCAAATGTGATCTCATAAAAAAACGGGTGCGGGAGATTTCCTAGGTTACCGCATAAGTTAGCTTTTGCGAGGATACTGTATAAATTTGGCAGGAACAGCGCATCTACCGAGCACGAGGACAGAATTGAGGTAATTAACCTCGNGCATAAGGTGTTTACACCTTATAGATGATGGAGGTGGTGCCAGCGAATTGGGACTGTAAAGGTTGATTATTCATCTATTCACTATCAATCAAGTAAAAGTAGCAAAAGGAGGTGATGGAAACGACAGTGTAAGGTCCTACTAGCAAATGTGATCTCATAAAAAAACGGGTGCGGGAGATTTTCTAGGTTACCGCATAAGTTAGCTTTTGCAAGGATACTGTATAAATTTGGCAGGAACAGCGCATCTACCGAGCACGAGGACAGAATTGAGGTAATTAACCTCGTACTGAGAAGGAGCAACAGGTTACTGCAAGCTAAAAGATGACAAATGGCCCACAGGATACATAGCGTGAGCGGAACATACTTCTTTTCTCCATCAGCTGCTAGTAGTGATCAATCAACCAGACGTAAGGACTAGATATCATAAGTTTATAACGAATCAATCGAAACGCAACAGATTGGAAGTTATCATCACACAATACCTGATCGCCTTTGAAATGCGTACGACAGCATTTCTGTAGTAGTCGATCATCGGTGCGATTACGATGTAAGGCGGCGACCACTTCGCATAAAGGTCTTGTTGTTCTGTAATAGCGAAAAATTAAACAATAAAATTCCCTCAATGTAGCTTCACACGATCCCTTACAGAGTAAGACAAAAAAAAAGCACTTTTTTCAGGGAAAGCAGAAAATACAGCAACCTGAACTTGATCTCAACACTTCGCCCAGCGTTTACGATGGCGTCAAAATGTGACACAGGCCGCAAGCCGAACAATCGTGTCGCTTTCGCTGGACCCCATTCTCCAGAAGCACACTCTGGTAGTGGAACCATAATAACTTGTAAAGAGTCGCATACAATCTGAAATATAAGTCGTATAAACGCAGAACTTTCCGGCACCTATAACATTTCTTGTTTGGATTAAGGCTCCTATGTCTCATTGTCTCCTACTGAAACTTCGCGATCACCTTTGCGTGAAGCTTCGGTTATTTAGAGGGAAAGCTCGAAGGTAATTCTCGCGGTTGTCGTGATTATCGCAGCGGGTCGCTTGTAGGGCTGAAGCAATCGAGAAATTGAACAACCGTTTAGTTTGAGAACGGGGCTGTATGGTTGGTGCGGCAGAACGGTGCGCATTATCGTCAGCAAGCAAACCTTGCCCACCGAACATGTCTTGTGAATCTTGTTGGCCGGTCTTCAATAGCAGAGGAGATGATAAGCTAAAACTCTGAGTTCAGTCGAATAGACTTCGCCGTTGTCAGCCATCCATTTCCAAGTATCCTCTAGTCACCAAGCAACTCCTTTTCTCAAAGGAATGCGTATAAAATGAGTCCCAGGTCTGCTTCAACGACCGATCGGTGGTTGTGGCCACTGACACCTGGCTTCAAATGACCAAAAAAGAAGGGGCTACACGGTTCTAGGCGAAAACGAAGGTTGAGCCCACTTTCCAATTTAATTTGTTCAAAAAACGGCAACACAGAGCTGCATTGAGCTTCTCGTATGCAGTAAAAACCTTCAAGCAACTGCACGCTGCCTTCCATTTATAGATATTATCGTCGAGGAACTGATGATACACTGCAGTGACGGTCTTTCCAAGACGCAGGTTTCGATTAGAGTCGCTAGAACATCACGCCTTTAAATTTGATAGCCATGACGAATGCCCGTTTGGGACCAAGTTACTCGTCACTAGTCATTCCTGGTGATCACTCATCTGCATCTATCCAAACCTGACCATGTGACTTTTGGGCTCAATGTGTTGTTTCACCTGTAGCCAATGTTTGGCGTGATGTGATGTGATGTGATGTGATGGGGGGGGGGGGGGGGGACTTTTGTGGCGATGGAAATCGTTATAGTGGGAAAACTTTTGATCGAAATCTTCTACTCTGGTAAGCTGTACTCTGCCTTTCGTCTTTCAAAACTTTATTTTACGTGCCAACTCTTTGGGGGGAGAGTGATCCTCATTAACTGGCAATTTTTACATACTACTTGTAATAATTCTAATAAACATTCGAAAAAAAATTTTCTGGCGCTTAGTGCGTTTTGACGGGAGCACCCCTTTTAGCATGATTCGTAAGCACAATCTTTTCCCTGGGATGCTCCATGCAGCAATCACTGCTCATTCTCCGGCTCTTTTTCGGACTTTCATTTTAGTCGGTCATTTGTCTTTGGAGAGGGAGGCTTGCCGAAAACACTTTGAAGTAAGAATTCTTCAAGGTTCATCACAACAGTGCTACTATCTGCCTCTAACAAAATTCATCCTTCGTGTCTAGACTAGACAAAGTTTTACGATATTTCGTTTGGTCCAGATCCTACAAGCCACGAGCTCCAGAGATGAGTTGAACAATTTCTTATTTTCTGTAGAACATAGCGAGGAAACAGTGAATGTTACAGCGTAGCGCGTACGTTTTTCGGACGACTTATCACTTTTTCTGTGGAGTTTCAATGGAACTTTATCTTATGCAGTAGGTGCGAGAACAAAAATTAGATTCAAATCCATCTTAACAAAGCCTCACAGCACCATACCCATATCCTACTTTGTATAATTGGCTAAGTGTGTCTGTTGGCGTGTCGGTGTGTGTGTGTGTCGGTGTATGTGTGTGTCGGTGTGTGTGTGTCGGTGTGTGTGTTGGTGTGTGTGTGTCGGTG